AGTCTTGCCCTGATGTGTTTGAGTGTCCCTGTTCTTGCTGCTGCTGCTGCTGATACTGCTGCTGCTGCTGCTGCAGATGCTGCACCTCCACCTGCGCTGCCAAATTTCAGCGTCGCCTCCTCTTGGAGGTCTGGCGGCCCTCCCAGCCGTAAGATTGCCTGAGCAGCAGCAGCAGCAGCAGCAGCAGCAATAGCAGCAGCAGCACCACGAACTGGGAAAGCAATACCAGCTGCAGCAGCGGCAATGGCAACAGCAGCAGAAGCAGTGGCAACAGCAGCAGCAGCAGGAGAAGCAGTTGCAAGAGCAATAGCAGCGGCAACAGCAATAACAACGACAGTATTGTTCAGAAGCAGCAACAGCAGCAGTAACAATAGCAGCAGCAATGGTTGCAGAAGCAGTAGCAGCAAACAGCAGCAATAGCAGGAGCAGCAGGAACAGTAGCAACTGAAGTAGCAGTATCAGTAGCAGCAGCAGCAGCAACAAAATGGCCGACTGTGGCAGCAACAGCAGCAGCAACACGGCCAGCAGCAACAGCAGCAACAGCAGCAGCAGCAGTGTCTGTTTCTTTCAGCAAAAGGAGCACCAGAAGAAGCTGCAGCAGCAGCAGGCGCTGCAGCAGCAGAAGCACGAGGCGCCGAAGGGTGGCGTGCATAGTGTGTGTGTGCGCAGCTTTTGTCTCGAGCTCATCGACTGCTGCTGCTGCTGCTGCTGCTGCTGCTGCTGCAGTGTCCTACGCACCCAGCGCCGAAGAGCTGCAGCAATACTTGTCCCTTTTTGCTGCTAATGATCCTCAAGGGGGTGCAGGGCTGCTGGGGGGCACAGAGCTGCGGCCGCTGCTTGCTGCTTCGGGGCTTCCTGCTGCTGATCTTGCTGCAGCATGGGCAGCAGCAGATGCTGACGGCGACGGCTGCCTCTCTTGCTTCGAGTTTGCTGCTGCAATGTCCCTAGCAGCAAAACGCAGACAGGGAGCCCCCATTCCTTTGCTGCTGCCGCCGGAGCTGCATCCTCAAGCGCTGCAGCAGCAGCACAGGAGGCTGCAGCAGCAGCAGCAGCAGCAGCAAGTGCAGCAGCAGCAGCAGCAGGCGCAGCCGGATTGGGGCGCAGGGTTTGATGCCTTTGGAGATACCACGGATGCCAGCGGAGGGCCTGCAGCAGCAGCAGAAGCAGCAGCAGAAGCAGCAGCAACAGCAGAAGACACCCCCGAAGCAAACAAGGACAGCAGCAAACGGAAGCCCCGCAGCACGTCTCCCCGCAGCAGCAGCAGCAAATCCAAAAGCAAAGCCAGGGCCCACAGCAGCAGCGACGACGAGGCAGCAGCAGAGGGCCAGCGGGGCGCCCGCAGCAGCAGCAGCAAACGCAAGGAGCAGCGGAAGCAGCAGCGGCAGCAGCAGCAGGAGGCGCAGCAGCAGCAGCAGCAGGATGAAGAAGACGCGGACCTCAACGCGTCTTGGGGCAGAGACAAAGACTGGGAGTCCTCTGGCGACGAATTTGGAGAGCAGCAGCAGCAGCAGCAGCAGCAGCAGCTGCTGCAGCAGCAGCTCGAGCAGCACCTCGGCCAGCAGCAGCTAAGGTCCCGCAGCTACGAATACCCAGACGAAGATGACCAGTTCTCCTTAGACATATCCACCCCACTGCAGCAGCAGCAGCGGCGCCGCAAGCAGCAGCAGCAGCAGCAGCAGCAGCAAGGCAGGAATGGCCTGCATGAAGGGGGAAGGGAAACAGCAGACTCAGCAGTGGCGCTGCTGGAGAGTGTTGTCGAGGTAAGCCGCTACATTGAGCTTTAGGGTTTAGGGTTTAGGGTCTTAGGGTTTAGGGTTTAGGGTTTAGGGTTTAGCGTATGGGGTTTGGAATTTGGAGTTTAGGGCCCTGGCAGCCAAATGCCGCATTACGCTAGGGCTTGGGATTTGGGGCTCAGAAATGAGAAGTTTACAGGGCTCGGGGTTTAGGGTTTAGGGTTTAGGGTTTAGGGTTTAAGGCTCAAGGTTGAGGGTTTAGGAGTTGGGTTAAGGGTTTGGGGTTTAGGGCTTACGGTTTAGGGTTTAGTTTTTGGGGCCTAAGGTTGAAGGTTTAGGAGTTGTAATGGTTTAAGATCTGGGGTTTAGGGTTTAGGGTTTAGGGTTTGGGGTTTAGGTGTGTCTCAGTGCGACAAGCGTCTGGCGACACTGATGGGGGTGGAGGTGGATCTTGCTGCTGACGAGCTGCTGCAGCTGCGCTCAGTTGCTGCTGCACTGCAGCGGCAGCTAATAACGGAGAAGCAGCAGCTAGCAGCAGCAATTGACAGAAGAAAAGAATTCGAAGCTTTGCTGCAGCGCGAGCGGATCAGGCTTGAAAAGCTGCAGGAGGCTAGGAGATCTGTAAGCTGCTGCTGCTGCTGCTGCTGTTGCTGCTGCTGCTGTGGTTCATATTGCTGCTGCTGCTGGTGTAGCCCAAGTTGCTGCTGTGCTGCTGCTGCGGTAGTCAAAGCTACCATTGCTGCTCTTTTCGCTGCTGCTGCTGCTGCTGCGGCGGCGGGGCCGGCACTGCAGCTGCTGCTGCTGCTGCAGCTGCTGCTGCTGCGGCTTCTGCCTGCGGCACAAGCCTTGAGCCCGCGCAGTGAGCCTTTTCGGCATGCGCTAAACCCTAAACCCTAAACCCTTGCTGCTGCTGCTTCAGCTCGAAATGGAACGCATTGGGGCCCACAGAGACATCCAACATTATCAAGAAGAGCTGCTATTTTTGAAGCAGCAAGTAGCAGCAGCAGAAGCAGACCTGCGCTCTCTCGCAGATGCAGCAGACGCCACGCGCATGCAGCAGCAGCAGCAGCAGCAGCAGCTCGAAGCACTCGACTCCGAAAGGAGGTGCGTCCTGCTGCTGCTGCTGCCGCTGCTGTGGAAGCTGCTGCTGACGCTGCTGCTGCTGCTGTTGCTGTTGCTGCCGAGGCTGAAGGCTATAATTTGCAATTTTCACATTGCTCCAGTAGCGCATGGGGCAGCAGCAGCAGCAGCAGCAGCAGCAGCAGCGAGTGGTTTTGTGCCTCTTTCAGGATAGCAGTGGAGACTCTTAAATCTGAGAAAGATCTTCTCGCCAAGGAGGAGAGAGAAATCGAGGAAATGAAAGTAATGTTGCTGCTGTTGCTGCTGCTGTTGCTGCTGCTGCTGCTGCTGTGACTGCCGCGCTGCTGCAGCAGATGCTGCCACAACATGTGGTGCTGCTACTGCTGCCGCGGCTGTTGCTGCTGTTATTGGAGCAGGAGCAGCTGCTGCTGCTGCTGCCTACGTAAAGGCTACAAGGAAGCAGGCGACTGGCTGTGTTTTTGTTCTTGAGGTCAAGGGCTAAGGACTCAAAATTTAGGGTTTAGGGTTTAGGGTTTTCAATTTAAGTTTCAGGATTTAGGGTCTAGGGTTTAGGGTTTTGGCGCTGAGTCTTCTTGCGAGTGCTGCAGCTGCTGCTGCAGCGCCTACGGCGCGAAAAGACAGATGGGCAGTCGCAGCATGCAGTACTGCAGGAGAAGCTTCGGCAGGTTGGCTGGGGATTAGGGTTTAGGGTTTAGGGTTTAGGGTTTGCGGTTTGCGGTTTGCGGTTTGCGGTTCTGGGGCTAGAGAGTGCGGGGAGTTGTGCGCGTCGCCAAAGTGTTTCGGCTGTGGATTTGTGCGTGCGATGCCAGGTCATTAGGGTTTAGGGTTTAGGGTTTAGGGTTTAGGGTTCAGGGTTTAGGGTTTGAGTGCAGACCGAGCACGACGTGGTGCTGCAGCGCGCAGCTCTGGACTCGGCGCACACAGAAGCCATTTCGACGCTGCAGCAAAGGGTGCAGCAGCAGCAGCAGAAGCAAAAGCTGATTTCGGAGTTAAATCAGCACACCCAGGTTTGCTGCTGCTGCTGCTGCTGCTGCAGTTGTTGCTGCTGCTGCAGCTGCTGCTGCTGAGCCCAGTGGCGCTGCCGTAGCAGCTGAGTGTACGCTTTACACTCAGGGCCAAGGGTCTGGGGTTTAGGGTTTAGGATTTAGGGCTTAGAGTTTAGGGTTTAGGGTTTAGGGTTTAGGGTTTGTTGTACTCTCAGGAGACATGGGCAGCGCAGCGCATGCGCGCTTTAGAGGGGCCCCACGGGTCTGGGGGCCCCCGTGGGCTGACGTCTGCTGCAGCAGCAGCAGCAGCAGCAGCAGCAGGTGGATGGACTGCAGCAGAAGCCCCGCAGCGGCGAGACCTCAAAGGAGTCCCATCTGGAGGCGGCGGAGGTTTTTTTCTGTCTTCTCCCCGCAGCGTGCATGCACACGCCATGGTTTGCTGCTGCTGCTGCTGCTGCTGATGCTGGCTGAATTGCTGCTGCTGATACGGACGGCGCTTTCCATTTTGCCCGAGCCGCAGATCGGGCTGCTGCTGCTGCTCGAGCTGCTGCTGCTGATGCGGATGGCGCTTTTCATTGTGGCGTTGCTGCTGCTGCTGCTGCTGCCGCTGCTGCTGCTGCTGCTGCAGGACACGGCCCCGCCCCCTGCAAACTGGAGGACGTTCAAGGCCCCCACTGCTGCTGACCTGGTGATGCCTCGCGGCGGAACAGCAGCAGCAGCAGCAACACTTGGAATTACAGATTTTGCTGCTGGTGCTGCTGCTGCTGCTGACGACAGCAGAGACCTCAGGAGGCACTTGGAAGGTCTTTCCATCGACAGCGTCAAGAGCGATACGGCCTTCGTATGCTTTGCTGCTGCTGCTGCTGCTGCTGCTGCTGTATGAGTGCCGGCTGCAGCTGCTGCAGCTGCTGCAGCTGCTGTTGTCGCCTTTGTGGTGATGCTCTCTTCACACCTTCTTGTGTTGCTGCTGCGTTCGCATCTTTTCTGTGCCGCTGCTGTTTGCTCTACTTTCTGCTGCTGCTGCTGCACGTGCTGCTGCTGCTGCTGCTGCTGCTGCAGGGTGAGCTCCCCTACCTAGGAACTCGGCGCGGCGATGCGCAGCAAACAGCCTTCGGCGAGCGCCTCATATGTGGGTCTAAGGTTTAGGGTTTAGGGTTTAGGGTTTTAGGGAAGCTGCTAGGGTTTAGCAATTGGGGTTTGGGATTTAGGGTTTGCAATCTAGGGTTTTACATAGGCAGTGCGGGCATGCACGGCTAGAAGATCCAACTGCTGCTACTGCATCCGCTGCTGCTGCTGCACCTTGTGCTGCTGCTGTACCTTGTGCTGCTGCTGCTGTATGTCCTGCTGCATCTGCTACCGCTGTTGCACTTGCTGCTACATCTGCTCTTGCTGCCGCATTTGCTGCTGGTGTTCGATCTGCTGCTGCTGTTTACGTTGATGGTGCTGCTGCAGCTGCTTCTCGACGGCGTTCTGCTTCAAAAGAAAAGCAGCAGCAGCAGCAGCAGCAGCAAGGCGATGCTGCATCTTCTCACCATCGTGAGCAGAGGCATAGGGACCGGAAACCGCCTGAAAAAGGGGTGAGCGCTTTGCTGCTGCTGCAGTTGCTGCTGGTGTTGCTGCTGCTGCTCTTGCTGCTAGTGCTGCTGCTGTTGCATCTTCTGCTGCCGCTGCTTCTGCTGCTGCAGCTCCTGGCTGCCCTTTCAAGTCCTAGTTGGGGTGCAACTGAGCAACTAAACGCGTCAACGTGACTGCTGCCGCTGCTGCTGCTTGCGAT